AGGACAGAAGGAGAATTGACGCCTTTGAGCTGTGGTGCTGGAGAAGAGTATTGAATGTACCATGGACTGCCAAGAAAACAAACAGATTCATCGTAGAGAGAATTAAACCAGGCTGCTCCTTGGAGGCAAGGATTCTGGGGCTTCGCCTGACATACTTTGGACATGTTGTAAGGAGAGACAGGTCTTTAGAGCGGGACATCATGCTGGGTAGTGTAGAGGGACAGCGCAGGAGGGGAAGACTCTCTATGAGGTGGATTGATTCAGTGACAGGGGTAATAGGGATGGTTGTGTCAGAGGCAATGAGATTGGCACGGGATAGAGCACGGTTTAGGGCTATTGTACATAGGGTCGCTATGAGTTGCAAACGACTCGACGGCACACAACAACAACAACATATGCCTTTACCTCTCACTCTGACTCATTATATATGTGGCAGTTTATTTTCTGGGTGTCTCTCCTGTTCTTTCATTATCTCTGGTATAATTTATTTCTGCTATGTGTTACTCTACCAGTCTCCTTGTTTCACCACATATAATCCAGTTTTTATGCTATGTATGCTTCTTTTCTCCCCACTTTCCCATCTGTGATCTAGTTTTTATGCTACTTGAACCCCCTTCCCATTCACCATCCAGTTTCTGTGCTGTTTTACCCCCTCTGTCCTACTATCTCTCCTCTGTCAAACCTAATCATTCTACTGGAGAATCCATATCCATATACACCCCTCACTCACATGCTTTCACATTGTCTGTCCCTTCCCTGCTTTTCTGTCTTGGGTTCCCAGTACCAAAGTATCAATGACAAGGATATTGCGTGGACCTAGAAGCCTAGGATATGGGTAAGCTGAACGGTGAGATCCTTGTGGTCTAGGAAGGGCCTTTGCATCTGCATGAATCTGCACTTTAGACAGAGAAAGGCTTTGCCTGCCTTGATGTTCGCCCCTTCCAGGTCCAGTGAATATTATCCATTGTCTACAGGATGTACTCCAGCCTCGCAGCATTTCTCTTTGCTTTCTTTTTCCATCTTCTTCTTTTTCTCACCTTCCTTTTCATTCTCACTCTGTTCCTCCACTATGATGACAGTCTCTTCCTTCCTCTTTGAAACAGCCTCTGGGTTCACAGCACCCCTATGCTACAGGTTTCTCTGGCCTTCTCCTCGGTAAAGCTGCTGGGCCTGGTAACCTGAAAGCCAATTTCTGAGCTTTCCCTAGAAGCCTCAGAAGTAGAGAGTGTTTCTAGTCTTCCCATGGGAGGGGACATCACCTCATACCCTGATTCTAAGGCTCCCAGCTGAGATCCCCAGCACCCAGGGTGAAGTATACATGGATTCCCCCCTTCTCCAGAATGACAAAGGGAGGCAGAGGGGGCAGTGTGGAGTCCAGTTCCCCTCCCCGCCCCATGTTACTCAGTACCTGTGCTGCCTCGTTTTCCTCCTGACGCCTTGGTCACAGATGAGGTGGAGGTAGAGGCAGCCACAGGAGCGGTGGCGGCAGGTCGCACTAAGGGAACTTGGAGATGCTTTGGGCGGCAGCTCTTTGCTGAGGCCCTTCATCCTGTCCATAAGGACAGCAATCACACAGCTCAGGGAATCACACTCGCCTCTTCAGTTTCTACTGTGGAGTTGCTGCTGGTCCCACCAGTAGGGAAACTTCTGCACCTCATGCTACAGGCCCCAGTCACCATTTATTTGGCTCTGGTGTTCCCTCCCACAGCATCTGCCTTCGCACCAGTTGTCAAAGTCGTGTCCTGTCTCACCATTGGCTGCCTAGGTGGTGCTCTTTAAATCCTAGCAATCTGCCTGTCAACACTACTTGTGATCATGTTCCCTCCTAGTGGATTTGCCTATCATTGGGCTGACACTTTCAGTAAGGAGAGGGAAAGGCAAGGTGATTGGTTGGGAGGAAAGCTGAGGAAAAGCAACCCTTTTCTCTCACTCTCCCATAGTATGTAGCTCTATGGTGTACCAGTGGTTCTGAAGGAAAAAAAAAGAACAAAATACAATAAAACACCAAACACACAGTAACTGAGCTGAGTGTGCTAAAATTAAATTGAGATAGGTTCATTACTATTGCTTCTCCCTTCCTTCAGTGATTACACATTTGCCCATCCTCCATCTTATACTTTGGCACCAGGAACTAAGGTCCCTTGGGTTCAGGCTGCTCTAAAGGAGCCTGGAATTTAGAAATCTTGAGCTTTGGTTTGGGGCTAGGTTTGGCCTTAGTGTATTCTACGTTGACGAAATGGTTCTAGAAGTAAATAAGCACAAAAAATGTATAACTTCCCGTGCATCTTTAAAAACGTGATTCAGCACATCTGTCTAACAGATGTTACTAGGACATTGTTTTATTTGTATATGTCAGGCTGCTAACCACAAGGTTGGTGGATTAAATCCACCAGTCACTCCTCCAGTAACAATTTGTTGTTGTTAGGTGCCATTGATTTGAGTACGACTCATAGCAACCCTAAAACAGACACAAATCCTGTTCTATCCTGTGCCATCCTCATCATCTTTAATACACTGGAACCCATTGCTGTAGTCACTTTGTCAATCCACCTCATTGGGATTCTTCCTCTCTTTTACTGACCCTCCACATTTCCAAGGAATGGCTTCTCCTTAGCAACATGCCCAAAATACGTAAGCTTAAGCCTCTCCATTCTAACCTCCAAGGAACACTCTGACCATACTTTTTCCAAGACATAGTTGTTAGGTTTTTTTGGCAATCCATGGGATATTCAGTACCTTTCTCCAACACAATTCAAAGGCATCAATTCTGTCATCTGTATTCATTGTCAAGCTCTCAGATGCATAGCAAGTGATTGAAAAGACCATGATCTAAATCACTCACACCTTAGTCTTCAAACTGACATCACTACTCCCTAACAAAAGACTTGGATAAACCAGTGCATCTTCTGGCTCTTCTGGTAAAGATTTATGGTCTTTGAAACCTGATGGGGCACTGTTGGTCTAGTGAGTAGGGAGTTGTGCTACTAACCCAAAGGTGGTGCCTCTTTGGTGGTTCAAATTCACCAGAGACTCTGCAGGAGAAACATGAGGAATTCCCTCTTGGTCAATTTATAGCCTCTGAAAACCCACTGGAGGGTCAGCTATGAGTTGGTTCCGACTCTACTGCAATGAGTTGAGTCAAAACCTGATGGAGGGTGGCTATTAATTCTAATCTACTCTATAGGAAGTGAGTTTAGTTTAATAATTTACTAAATAGTCCCCTCTCTATCTCTTTTCCTATTGCTTGATATTTGTCCCCACCCCCTTTTTTTTGTCAGATGAATGTTCTCTTGTCAGATATAGTAGTAAAACTCTGGCTTTTGTTTGAGATTCACATCAAGGCTCTGCTGCTCACTTTATAACCCCAATTAAAACAGTGCCAGTCACTGGGCTTGTGTATTTTCTCTGAATTAGGTGTCCCTAAAAGGTGTGTAGGATATTGCCCGTTGAAACCTGTATTAGCAGAGAATTGAATGTAAACAAGGGACCCCTCATCTGGAAGCTGCATAAGGAAAATGTAATGCATATATAAAGTGGACCACTAGAATGAATTCGATTTACATAGAGCAACAAGGTTGGATCTCTCAAAAAACAGAGTAACGAGTGAATAAAAAAACAATAATTTTAGTAGAATACTGTTTATGAAAATGAAAACACATAGCAATACTATATATTTTTTCACAGATGTATGTAAATAAACACATGAACAATGGATTGGATGGAAATATGTTAAATATAAAGAGGAAGTGTCTATTTGCGAGAGAGAAATTGGATCAGGGATGAATAATAAAAGGGAAAAAACCCGCAAACAAAGTGAAGAATAAAAGGACTTTGCATGGATCTGTGATGATATAGTGTGCCAAGAACTGAGGAGTATGGTTAACTAAACTCTATGCACCTGTGAAAATAAGTAAACAGATAATAAATTAATTGGTTGTCCAAAGAACAAGATGGCTGGATAGATTAAAATTTGAATGTATTTCTCTGAATTTAGTCAAAGCTTACCAAAGAAGTCATTACTTTACAGGGAGGAGGGAATTTCCTAATCCTTTCAGCTTGCCAAAGTTTTATCTTGAATTTCAAGCCCCCATTCTTCATAGTGGTCCAGTTTCAAGAATATCTTGTTTAAATTTCGGGTGTTAAACTGAGACAGAGTATGAAGACTCCAGACTTTAAGAAGAGAGAGAGTGTTCAAGCATTTTGGCTCCCAAGTTCACAGCCTGGGCCAAGGGAGAAAGACTCTGCCAGACAGATCCCAAAATAACCTTTTATTCTCTCTCTCTCTCTCTCTCTCTCTCACACACACACACACACACACACACACACCCCACAACCCATATACTTTATAAGTTCCATCTCTTCAACTCTTCTATTTACTACCCAGGTATATACTATACAGTCTGTCTCCTTTCACTTAGGTGCATTTTCCAAGTATGTGTGCATACACTTGTATACATATGCTTGTATATGTCTTCATATGTAGGCATTTGTGCATTTTCCCCCCTCACGGCTCCACCCCTCATAAAATCACATAAGCACAGTGTCTCATTCAAGTATACCTACACACACACACACACACACACACAGAGAGAGAGAGAGAGAAAGAGAAGACATCCAATATTACATTGTTCATTTCAGCTTTTCCATTTATAAAGTCCAATGTTGAACCCAGGCATTTAGAGGAAAGAAATGGAAGAACATTCTCCTGAATATACCCTATAGACCCCTCACACCGTTAACCCCTCACTCCACCTTTAGGAAAGGCACTCCCATCACTATCACTGAGAAAATAAGAACAATCTATTTTCTATGATCCAGCCATTATGACTTGCCTTTCCAGGGTTACTCCACAGCTAAGCTTATTAATCTCTCCTGTTTAAAGTACATTTTCCATTCTTTTAAAGTCAAGGCTTCTCCAGTTCTGGGGTTTTGTTAATATAGAGAGGGAGCTTATGATGGAGTATTCTATAGGGAAGGAAATGGAGAAGGTAATACAGATTTCTCCCCTATAAAATTGAGGGAGACAGAGACCCAGGCAAGATTAATCACAAGCATCTACAAGAACTGGTCTTGATATAATCCCAGAGTGGACTCTTCCTCTAGCTTGGAGACAAGTCTTCAGCTTTCCTACCAGCATAAACTGGCTGCAGTTTGCGCCTCTTTGGGTGTATGTAAGGTTGGAGAGAGAAAGGGAAAGAGTTGGGAAGAGGAAAGTTTAGGGTTGAGGATCCAGAAGATCAAGGACTACTTGAAACCTCTGAGGCCTGAAAGGAACTAAAAAAGATCAGACAAAATTGGACATAAGTCTACAGTGCCTTGGAGTTTATATCATTAAGAGTTACCAAGGTAAAAAATGAATTTTCATTTTAGAATAGTAGTATGAAGCCAGGAAGCAATTCTGGAGCGGAATTCCTCTAACCCCAGGTTTTGGGATCCAGCGACACTGAGGAGATAAACTTTCTTTCTACACTTCCCTGTTGTTTATTTCTTGCCTGTATTGCAGTGATAGCACTAGTGAAGTTAGGCAGGTTTTCTGTTCTGAAAAATAAAGAGCTGTGAGTCATGGATTCAGGAGACAGCTCTAGGCAACTCGCAGAATTTAGCTATCATCCTGCTCACTTACCCTCGGCCCATCCCTGAGAGTCCTTTTCCATATCCTCTTGGCTTCTCAAGTGAACTCTCAAACACTTGGGAGGCTTGGACATAGTGGGAAGAAGATATTGGGCTTGAGATCAGAGTTGGTCTGAAATAACATTGCATACAACATAGCAACTAAACACCCCTGCTTCCTGGAACCTATACCATATTTGGTCTTTTATTTTTTTTCAGAAGCTTTGGATTAATTACTCCTTAAAGCATCCAGGCCTTGATAAAGGACTTGAAAGGAGGATGCATGGGAGCAGATGGTAGGGAAAGAAGAGCTCTGGACGTCTATTTTACAAGATAATTTTTTCCTCTTTGGACAATGTCAGAAGGAGGGTCTCAGCTGTTAGTAGAAAAATCTACATTCTAGTTTTGTTTTCTTTTTCTGAATTGTCACTTGTGAGAAACAGAGGGAGAAGGAAAAGGGAAGGAAGTGACAGAGACAGAACTCACAAAACTAGAAACACCTATTTCCCAGGCCCCTACTCAGTTCCTAACCCTGAGGAGGTGTTGGCAAAGGTGCCTAGACTGAGTGGTTTGAAAGGCTGAGACTAGAACTCTGAAAGGAAGGTTCCTCTCCCTCCCTTGCTGTTGGCCTTATTATGGTAGCCATGACTTTCTCTCAATCTACTTTACATGACACAGTAGGGTTCTCTGGGAGCCGGAGCACCTCCTGTGCCCCAGCAGGGGGCATGAGTTCTCAGGCACTTCTTCAGGTCCTTGTTGAGCAGGAAGCAGACAATCGGGTTGACAGCAGCCTGGGCGAAGCTCATCCAAACAGCAGTAGCCAGATAGTGATGGGGCACGGCACAGGCTTTCACAAACACTCGCCAGTAGCAGGCCACGATGTAGGGTGACCAGAGGAGTAGGAAGAGCAGAGTGATTGCGTAGAACATGCGGCCCAGCTGCTTTTCACCCTTGACCTCATCCATACCCAGTAGCCGTCTGCTGCCCACATGCCCATTCTGCCTGATACCCAGCAGGGTTGGTGGCATGGGCCCACGGCCAAAGCCAGCGATCCAGTTGGCAGCAGCCTGGCCGGTAGCCCCAGGGCCATGGAATGTCCAGTTCTGGCTGATGGCTGGCACCATCTGCACTGGCTTCATTTTGCGGTGACGATACTCAAAGAGGAGCAGCTTGCCATAGACGGCGTGTGTGGCTGCCATGAGCACAGCCAACATAAGCATGAAGCCCAGTGTGTCATTGGCCTTGAAGTAGCGATGCTCAAAGATGCACTGGTCTTCCTCACGAATAAACTTATAAGTGCCCACATCAAAGACGGGTGGGAAGGCCATGGCTACAGACAGGGTCCAGGCCATGCAGATTACAGCTGCACATGTCCAGAGTGTCATGCGCTTGGTGTAGAAGCGGTGGTGGGCGATGGCCATGTAGCGAGTGACGCTGATGCAGAAGAGCATGAAGGCTGCATGGAAGCAAAAGAGCACGGCCATAAAAGCCACAATCTTGCAGCTGAGTGCACTGAAGGTCCATGAGGAGCCGTGGCGCACAGAAGCCAGCACAAAGGGGAAGCAGACGGCAGAGCGTATGCCATCAGCCAGGCATAGGTCCAGCAGAAAGTAGTAAGGAGCCTTGTGCAGGGCACGCTCCTTGAGTACCAGCAAGGACAAAATGGCATTGCCTGCCAGGCTCACACACATGATCAATCCCAGAAGCACCAACTTCACATAAGCTGATGCTGACGGTAGGGATAATGCACCGCTCACCTCCTCGGGCTCTCCAGTGGTATTGGCCATACTCAGGGGCAGGAACTCCTATCAACCCTTTGAGGTCAGCCAATCTGATAGTCCATGGGACTTGTGCAACTCCATCAGTTGACCTATTGGGCTGCACCTGGAATTAGGGAAATTGAGGTAGACACAGACATAGCCACAGAGAGAACAAGATAGAAAAGAACAAGATAGAAAACCACATGGAAAGAGTAGAAAAAAAAAAGAAACTGAAATTGAGACAAGAATGGAAGGAATGAGAACAAGTGAGGAAGGATAAAAAAAGAGAAAAAGAGATAAGGAAAGCAAGAGCAAACAGAAAAGAGAAAAAGACAGTGAGAAACAATGGAAAGGAAAGGTGAGGGAGAAACAGAAAGGGCAGTGTTAGTGTGTCTATGCACTCCACACCCTACTTAATTCCCATCTAGCATCAAGTCCTGTACATGTTTCAGTTCTGGTTCTACACAATTTTTACTCAGTGAAGGTGCTTCATCTTTCTGTATGTCTTCAGTTACCTGTTCCTTTTATTAGCAAGAATGTTGTTTGAGTTCTTTCCCTTTGCAAAGCCCCAATCCAGGGCCTGAGTACACAACACACACACACGCGCGCGTGCGCGCGCACACACAAACACACTTCACAAAACAGTGCTGACTCTATTTGTAATGCGCCCAATAGTTTCTGTTTGATATCTTCCTTTTTAGAAATGTCTTCACAGTCACTTGTTGAATGAATTTTGTTACTTGCAATCAGGAAAGTACTTAGCTTGCTCATAGGATGCCAGTGTGGCTAGAATGTAGTGAGCCAGATGTAAGAAGTCAGATGAAAGAAGTGTCTGGAAGCTAGATCATTTAGAACCAATGGGCTACGATGAGGACTTTTGTTTTTTAAGTGGTATTATGTGTGACTATAAATATATAAATATGAGTGTATGCATAAATTTATTTGTTAAAAAGTAACCAGTATAAAAGAAAAAGCATGTGTGTGTGTATGTGTGTGTATCTCAGACAAATAAAAAGAATAACTTCTTTAAAATACCTAGTTTTGTAGAGCTTATATTCTGAAGTTCTGCCCGACATACTGTGGGCATGTTGCAAGGAGGGACTAATCAATGTAGAGGGAAATCATACTTGGGAGGGTATAGGAACAGCGCAAGAGAGGAAGACCCTGGATATGATGAATTGACATAGTAACTGGAGTAATGAGGGTGGGTGTGTCAGAGACAATGAGGTTAGCACAGGGTCACTATGAATGGCAAAGGATTCGATGACACTTAACAACAACAATAGCAGCAACAACAGCAACATATTCTGGATAATAAAGAAGATAGAGAAAGCATGTGAGAGAATAAGTTACTAAGAATAAAAATAAAATCAAGAATGGAAATAGGAAGTAATAGGGGTGGAAGAGTTATTGTAATTTTTAGATGAGATGAATAGGTAAGATTCCATGGAGGAGCAAAGACCTGAAGTGGAGGAAGGAATAAACTATGTGAATATCTACGGGAAGAGAAATCCAGGTAAAGCAAAATCTCTGTGATGGGCGTATACCTGGCACATTTGAGGAATAACCTGGATGCCAAATGGAGTAGAACAGAGGAAGTGAGGGAGAAAGTGATGAGAGGTAAGGTAAAAAAGGTGGCAAGATCATATAATGAAGGTCACAGAAAGAATTTTGAAAAGAGTTAAGATCTGACCTAGAATTCAACCGGATCCTAATTACTATTGTGAGGTGAACAGATCATCCAGAGCTAATCTGGGTCCCTTTTCTTCTTTATTTTTATTCACAGAAATTATTCTTCCTAACATATCATATAATTTACTTTTTTTGGTATCATCTTTATTTAGAGCCACAATGCAAAATGCTGTATCTCTTTTTCCTTATTTATTATTATTATTAATTTTAATGTAAGTTTACAGAGACTTTGGATTTCCATTTATTCATTGTTGCACATAATTTAATTAAAAAATTTTTTCATATAATTTACTTAAAAAATTCATTTATTACTTGCCTTACATGATTAAAAACAAAATACCATGAAAGCAGGGACTGTACTCATTAACCCCTTCTTATCTAGAAAGGCATATGTGATAGGTAACCTGTAAAAATAAATCTTTTTCACTGATTGTGAAACTCTGGTGATATAGTCCATAGGGAGCTGTGTTGTGCTAACTCACCAGTAGTTCTAGATGAGAACGATGGGTAATTTTTTTACCCTTGTAATTTACAGTCTCCTGAAAGCCAGGTATGTGTCAGTTCCAACTTGATCACAAAGAGGGTTTTGGTGTTTTGTTTTGTTTTAATTTATTTTAACTAGTTGTAGGACCAAATTAGGGAAGCTCTGGTGGGTTAGTGGTAAGGAAGTGCACTGTCAATGCAAAGGCACATGGTTTTAATCCACAAGCTGTACTGTGGGAGAAAGATGGATTATCTCTTTACTTGTGATTTCTTGCCTCTGAAAACTGGCTAGCGAGTCAGCTCCAGGTTGGTTCTGACTAGATGACACATAACAAAAATAACAGGACCAAATTGGCTGGTGGGTCAGAGAGGGTTTCTTGAAGGTATCCAGGAAGGACTTGTCAGAAAAAGAGGCCTAAGAGTAAGTACATCTTGCAGTGGGAGTGGTATAGGCAAGGTTTGGGGAAATAGAAGAGTTCCTGATGTAGGTTGGAGGCAGAGAGTGTGGGAATGTGATGAAATAATAGGAAAGGACACAGAGGGAAGGCAGCAAGACAACTGGAGCAGAAGCTGGAAAAGCTCAGAATTGCTGTTGGATCTAGAGTCTGGAAGAGGTAGGGCTTGAGTAAATGTCTTCCTATTTCCTATCTCTCGGGGGGGGGGCTTCCTTTCTGCTTTGATTCCCATTTCAATTCATTCTTATCTGCTGTAGTCACCTGAGACCAAGCTCTTTTTATTGCATCCCAATGACTGACAACTTTAACATGCGCTTAACATGTTCACCTACTTGTGCCCACAAAGGGTAATACAAAGATACCGAAATCAAAACCAAACCATTAAAAAGAAATCATTAAGAAGTCATATCAACGTGGGGGAGCCTTGAGGACATTATGCTAAGTGAAATATCTCAGTCACAAAAGGATAAATATTACATAACACCACTGTAATAAAATAGGACAGACATCGGTGGGCTTGGAGAGGGATTGGGAAAAGACTGGATAAATAATGAACATTGCATTAGAAAAGAACAGGGGAAAATGTTTGAAAGGAATATATGATCAACCATTATATGTTGTTGTTGTTGTTATGTGCCGTCGAGTCGTTTCCGACTCATAGCGACCCTATGCACAACAGCCCTAAACTCTGCTCTATCCTGCGCCAACCGCACCACCTCTGACACACCCATGTATAAGAATAATCTGGAATACGGGTTGAGCAGGGTGAGCAAGGAGAGGGAAAGAGGGAGAAAATGTGCAAAAATGAATATATTTTTTAAAAAGGAAAAAAATTTGGAAATAGGAATACCATTTGATCCAGCAATTCCACTACTTGAAATATGTTGTTGTTGAGTGCCGTTGAGTTGAGCACGACTCACAGTGACCCTATGAACAAAAGATCTGAACCCTGTTCTATCCTGTGCCTTCCTGACACTTTCTGACACACAAGGGCCCATTGCAACAGTTACCGTGTCAATCCACCTCGTTGGGGGTCTTCCTCTCCTTCCCTGACCCTCCACCATTCCCAGCATCATGCCCTTCTCCAAAGAATAGAACCTCCTAGCAATATGCCCAAAGTATGTGAGGCAAACACTGATCATACTTGCCTCCAAAGAGCACTCTGGCTTCATCATCTTGGAATATACCCTAAAGAAACCAGAGCTATAACTCAAACCAATGTATGCACATCCATATTTATTGCTGTGTTATTCACAATAGCAAAGAGATGAAAGGAGCTCAAGTGCCCATCAACAAAGGAATGGATAGAAAAACTATGATACATTTACACAATGGAATAATTCACAGCATTGAAAAATTATGAGCTTGGAAAACACTACACAACATGATGAGCCTGGAGGACATTGTTGTGTTGTTGCTGTTGTTTGGTGCCATCGAGTCGTAGATGACTCATAGCGATCCTATGAACGAATGGCCTGAGCACTGTTCATACATAGAGTTTTCAGAGGCAAGCCATTTTGGAAGTGGATGCCGCTCCTGCTTCCAGGCTTAATTTAGTCGGAAAGCTCCAGCCAGCGCTGTCCACCATGGGTACCCATTATCATGATTGGCACATCACTGTCACAGTCTTCAGCATCACAGCAACCACCACGAGTTACCTCTGTACAGCAACACACAGACCAGTGCTATACCACCTAGAAGAATGTTTGACAGGAAACCAATTTGAACCTGGCTGAGGGCCACAGCTGAAAATCACCCACCTTCGGCTTGGTAGCATAACTTCCTTTCCACTAGGCCAACGTAGCTCTCGCTTTGTCGTTGTCTTTGTTATTGTTGTTTGGTGCTGTCGAGTCGTAGACGACTCATAGCGATCCTATGAATGAATGGCCTGAGCACTGTTCGTACATAAGAGTTTCGGAGGCAAGCCATTTCAGAAGTGTATGCCGCTCCTGCTTCCAGGCTTGTTTTAGTCGGGAAGCTCCAGCCAACACTGTCCATCATGGGTACCCATTATCATGATTGACACATCACTGTCACAGTCTTCGGCATCACAGCAACCACGAGTTACCTCTGTACAGCAACACACAGACCAGTGTTATACCACCTAGAAGAATGTTTGACAGGAAAACAATTTGAACCTGGCCGAGGACATTATGCTGAGTGAAATATCTCAGTCACAAAAAGATAATTGCTGCTTTTATAAAATAGGACTGACATGAAAGGTTGAGGGAAGTGGCTAGATAATGATCACTACAATGGAACAGATGAGGGGAAGAACAGTCTGAAAGGAATATATGATTAGGGATTATATGTATGACAACAATCTGGAACAAAATGTGCATTGCAAAATGGACTAGTGGATGGGATAAGGAGGGAGAGGGAAGTAAATGTGCATTA